CTGATCTCTGAGACCTTCTCTTCTTAGAGCTGTTTCTATGGAACGCAAGAGGAATGGTGCAGGCAGACCCTAGGGTTTGAGATTTTAGAGTCGAGACTAATAGGTGCTGCATCAGGTCAGCATTTTCTCAAAGTCCATTCTTTAATATTTCCATCTTTGCGAATCCATCCTGGTACTATCAACTAGGAGAAGGCGTCTCTTCCACCACTGAATTCCCACAGTACTTGATCAGTAGCTTTCCTATGGAAATTACATTCTGTTTTACACACTATTTTTACTGTTTTCTGTATAAAATGTGAACTCCTGGAAGGCCGCTACTGAAGAGCCTTTAATAGTGCTTGTCGTATGGTAGGTGTAGGAAAAAAGAAAATAAGAGTAAAGTAATCGTGGGCCATTCAGTCAGCATTGCTCAGAGTGTATGTCTTAGTGTCCCTTTACAAAGAATTTAACAAATCTCTGAGGGGGTAAGGTTGATGATATGAGGTCTGAGGTGGTCATCTTCCATGGCTTATGTTTGAAAAGCCATATAGCCTGTTCTAGAACAAATGAATAGAGGCTTCTATAAAGAAGATTCTCCTAGACCCATGGTTTGTTACCTCTTTTAAGTTAATTACCCCTTTGGGTAAGCTATGAAATTGAAACACATCCCTAAGTGAAAAAATGCATATCTCTGCAAAATTTTGCTAATGGCGTGAATGGTGAATGGTTCAGACTCCCAAAGATCCAGGTTAAGAACTCCCTAGCCTAGAGAATTCTGAATGTGGATACAGTAATCTCTGTGTATTGAACAGGAGGAAAATAAAAGTATATTTTCTGTACTAAATATTTGTCAAGCCATTGAAATATTTTGATAAAGTGGTAAAATAGGTACTAGAGGCATTGCAGAGGATAAAGATATATTTGGGCATCTGTTATGGTCAGGGTTGAATGACCATCTTTAAAATACCTGGAAAATATTCTGTGCCAGGACAGGACATCTGTGAGGTAAGTCATCTATTGTCACATAAAGTGAAATCAAGGATTTAAAGTAAAATAAAACCAAGTTAAAAGATGAAGTCGTACTCGTGGAGTGAGAACTTGCCTCTCGCCTCTACCGCAAACTCCAGAGTCCATACATCCCCATTTTCTTTATCTCATAGCCCAAATCAGGCGCTAGAGACAGGTGTGTCACCAACATTTTAAAGTCTGATGCCCTACATCTATAAAGTATCCATTCAGTCTTTTCTTTTTTCTATTCTTTTGTTTTTTATTGTTGTTTTTTTTTTGATGGGAGAGAAGAGGTGATGTGCAAAACCAAGTTCTTTGGAGGGTTCAGAAAAGAAAAAATTATTTTCACCATAACAATATGTACATCTGTACTGGCAAAATGAGATGTACTTGAAGTGGCTAGGGAAACACTCCACCACAAAAAAAGTAGAGTCCTGGCTAAGGACTCAGGGTACCTGATTTCTGGTCTGCCTCAACTGTGTGATTCTAGGTTTCACTCTACATGACTCTGGATGGGATGGGATGTAGGTTGTGAGGGAAAGAGGTCAAAGTTGACATCTAGGTTTTGGTCTTGAGCAACTGGGAAAATGGGAGTACCATTTATATGACATGGCATTACTCGTGGAAGGAGTGATTGGGGTAGAAATCCAGATTCCATTTTGGGCTTGATAAGTACAGTGTGCCTTTTCTTCATGCAATTTGAAATGGTAAATAGGTGGTTGGAAATATAAGTCTGTAACTCTGGTGAGAAGTTGGAGCTATAGATATGCACTTGGGAGTTATCAGAGAGTAGATGCTTTTTATGGCCATGGGCTTTGAGGCAAGCACCCAGGCAGTGAACGTGTAAATTGAGAAGAGATCTGAGGCCCCAGTCCAGTGTTTACAAACCTTAACCTCTCATGTGAACACATCTCCAGTTTCATAAGGGAAATTAAAACAGAATCCGTTTGCCTTATTAGAATTTTTTAAACATTGTGTAAAATGAGGTAGATGATTATTAAAATTAACTAGGGATTGGCTGAAGGGAGATGGGTGTGGTTATAAAAGGGCAACATATCATGTTAAAGCTGTTCATAGTCTTGACTGTGGTGGTGGATATACAAACCTAGGTGGATAGTAAATTGTGTAGAAATTACACACAAATGAGTGTACATAAAATTGAGGAAATCTGAATAAGATGGCTGATTCTATCAAAGTCAGTATCCTGGTTGTTATATAATACTATAATTTTGTAAGATGTTGCCGTTGGGGGAAACTGATTAGTGTACAATGGCCTTCTCTCTTTCTTAAAACTGCATGTGAAACCGCAATTATCTCAATTGAAAAGCCAACCTTTAAGAAAGCCTTCATAAAAATTAAATTATATAAACTTTCAATTAAATAAATTGTTAAAAACAAAGATAATACTCAAAACTCGAAAACAAAACATGGGACATTAAAATTCTTACATATAAGAAAAAGTTAACCAACTGATTTACCTCCTTCTATTCTGTCTAGCATTACATAAAACAAAAGTAAACAATAAAAATTTTATTCATTATCTTATATATTAGCTTTTCCTCCTTTTTTGTAAACGTATTTGGAAGTATGCTCTTCTAGTTTCACAAAATGATACCAGGAGTCGCCAAAGTTAGTAACCTTTCAGTCTCTGAACATTTAGTTTTATTAAGACAAGCCCGTTAAAAGACGGTTTAGTACAGCAATGCTCTGCTTTGCTTTGCCTACATTTTTTCAGGCAAATGTAATTAAGGTTTTAGTAGGTTTAATATTAAGGTTTAATATTTTTAAAAAGTAGAAAACTGTCTCTTGCAAAGAAAACACTTGCAAAACCCAGAAATGACTAACAATTCCTTTTAAAATTAAGTAAAAGCTGTTACTATGAAGATATAAATATTTAAAGCTGTTAAATAGTATTTTGTGGTTAAGTTTGAAGGAGAACTATGGCCTTTTAAGATGCTAAAGGCTATTTCTTGGTGAAACTATAACTTTTTACATGCAAGTAACCATTTTTTTAAAATTTTTCTATAGAAAAACATTTATCAGCATGTAAGCAAAGATCAGAAGATATTCATATTACACTTAGTGTATTTGAGGTATTATTATAGTTACAATGCTCTTGTACGTAATTTTTGCTTTTAGGATCTTGATTTCAGTTACCTGGAGGAGACGCTTATCGCATGTTCTTTTCTTTTATAACCGCATTAGTTTTGAATGTAAAACATTTTGACTTTAGACACAGTGAAGAGAAACTTGTTTCTGTTTGATTTTGAATCAATCAATTAAAAAGTGTATTTGTTTTTGAGATGGCATAGAAACTCCTTTATAACAAGGATTTAGTTTAAGAAAATTCTACCTATTTTTAAACTTGTTTTTGAATGAATTTGATTTTTTTATCAACTTGAAAATATATTTTTAGAAAAGTAATCCCAGATGTCTGTCTCTCAAGTAAATAAGTAAGTTGTAAGTAACTAACTAAACAGACTTCCTTATGTTCCTCTAACATGATGTTTGTGCTGGAGACAATGATCTCTCCTTTCCAAAGTCCTGCTTAAAACCTCCCAATGAATTCCCGTATGTTAGGAACCAACTCCCCAAACTCCCTACTTTGGCTGTGAAGAGAAGCTTATGATGTAGTCCCGCCTCTCTCTCCAGCACCATCTCCCACGCACCTGCTCACCACTCCCCCGCAGTATCCCATTCTCAAAACGGCTGTGTTTAATCTCATCTCCAGACTTTTGGTGCTCTCGTAGTGTAACATCTTCCCCTTTTCTTGACTCTTCGTATACACTCGGACGCCACTCTCCTATTGACCTACTTTGCCCCTACTCATCTTTTTCAGGCCTTTTTAATGCTGTTTGTTTTTTTGTTTGTTTGTTTGTTTTTTAATATAGTCAATTTGTAGTTCTTTGGCCAATGGACAAAGGTAATATGTGTTCTCCTGAGTGTTTAATGTTGTACTCGGTAGTAATCCAATCTTTAGATGGACCTTTACTAAGGTATGGTTGTATTGTGTGGTTCAGGTTTCTTGATGATGGAAGTGGGAAAGGGGAAGGAATTAAAGTCAAGAGAAACATCTGTCTGGTGCACATCTGTAGCCCAGCTAGTGCATCCCACACTGTGCATGGCTCATAAGACCTCTTCAGTTTAACAGGTTTTATAATAAACTAATAAAGGGAGATTGAATGAATAACTGGGGAGAATGAATCATGAGGAAAAGTTAAAGGAAGTTATATAAAAAGTTAAGGATTATTTCAGTGGAGAAGTGAAAGTAATTTTCCATGTAAATATCTTAAATATGATGATAGTATGCTTTTCTTTCAATCAAGAAAGCAATTTATTCAAATTTAGAATAAGAGAATGGAATTCTAATGTGGTGCCAGTCTGTAAAAGGGTGGAAGGATTTCTTGGCAATATAAGTCTGTTGGTACTAGAATGAGGAGTATATGAAGATTTAAATGGTAGAAAGTGATATTAATCAGTCAAATAGTACTTTTATAGTTTAGTGCTAATACATACTTATAAAAATGAAGGGAATATTTTTTAAAAGAACAAAGAGGTATGAAACATTATTCAGTATCTCACCATCCAGAAATGCATTCTGGGAATTGGGAAGAACAAAACAAGAGATTTATCCATCTGGAACTATTTAGGACTAGCTTTCATGAAGACAATAGGATGGACTGAATAAAATTTAATGTAACCTCAAGGAAACAAGGACTTCTTGGTTTAGAGTTGTTGTGGACATGTTGGATGAAGAATTATTATTAGATTTTTTTGGTAAACTGAGCAATTAACCTTAGAAGTTTATTAGCATTTCTGTGAACAAAACCACAGTGAAAAGTGCCCGAGAAATTTAATTGGACTGCCAATCTAATTAAACAACCTTCTGTGCTCTCAATAGGTAGCTGAGAAAATGTATTAAAAATTTTTTTGAGTCATTTAGTCTTTTCTTTAATTTGTAGGTCACTGCCGTTAAGTAATCACATATGTGTGACTTCTGTTTTATTTTTAAGCTGGATAATGCAGATGAACAAGCAGCCCAGATCAGAAGAGAACTTGATGGTCGTTTGCAATTGGCAGAGAAGATGGCAAAGGTAAATTATTAACTCTGACATACCATTACCATGTTTCTTTCTTTACTTAGATTTTTGTGAACTGAAAGAGTTTTGTGTAGATATAGCCAGCATAATTTATCATTTTTGCCTCTACATGCATACCTCTTAAGCCCAAATATCTGGATGTGTATTATCTAAATGGAGCATATTATCTGTTCTTATACATGAAAAGTTTAAATTCAACGATAACTTTTGTAGACTATTCTTAAAGTAATACCTGAATTTCTCAAACTTCCAGATTTAGAAGAACTTTAATATTGCACTAAGCATAATATAATTAGGGAGAAAAATATCCTCTGTGTGAGATTATGAAATATATTCCAAAGTATCCAGCATGGTGCTTGGCACGTAGTAATGTCAACTAATATTTGATTGAATGGATGAACAATATAATTTGAAGTTTCTAGTACAGAGTCTCGGTGTGTTCAATACAGTATTTTAGTTATATTTGTGCAATCACTCTGTTTCTATGAACATAAATAGATTTCAAACAAAAGCAATGAGTTTCCTTTTAGTACTAAAGAGTTTTTAGAGATAATGGAACTTCATTGTCTAAATCATTCTTTAGTAAATTGATGTGTTAATTTACTTAAGTGGTAAAAAATAAATTTTTTTAGTCCTTCTCAAAGCTGTTGATCTGAGAATAAGATTTTTTTTTTCCTTTTCCCTCTGCTAAGCAGAAACTTTGAGTATTTGATGGATAGACTCACCCTCTCCCTTCTGTCTCTCTGAAGAATCCTATTTAGGGATTTGTCTTTTTTAAAATTTAGGTATAACATGTATACAGTAAAGTACACAAATCTTTAGTTTACGACTTGATGAAGTATGTTTATACACCCTCTGTAATTACTTCTCAAATAATGATAGCGACCTTTTAAAGCACTTGAGAAGATAATATCCCATACTGATTTTTTTTTTTTTTTTTGATGAGGAAGATTAGCCCTGAGATAACATTTGTTGCCAATCCTCCTCTTTTTGCTGAAGATCGGCCCTGGGCTAACATCCCTGCCCATCTTCCTTTACTTTATATGTGGGATGCCTGCCACAGCATGGCTTGTTAAGCAGTGTGTAGGTCCGCACCCAGGATCCGAACGTGCGAATCCTGGGCCGCCAAAGCGAAACTCGTGAACTTAACGGCTATGCCAGTGGAATGGCCCCACATACTGATTTTAATAATAGAATTTTTTATTTTTGCAGAGAAAAATGTATTGAATATATGTTTTAAGAATGCTAATACTGTGTTTATCTCAATGTCTGTTAAATAGAGAGACAGTTGAGAAATTGGAGGTAAATAGAAAAATAAAGAAAATTGAGAGAAAGTAGGTAACAGAGATGACAGTAATTTATGAGAGCCAAGCCAGAGATATATGAGGAAAAATCTTCAGATGAATGAAGACATAGTATGATATGAATTAGGGGCTAAAGAGTTACATTCACAGAAAGGGCAGTGGTTGAAAGGACACCATGCCATGTTGCTGTCCTCTGGATATTGAGAGCAGTACACGTTATTCTAGAAATTCTAATGTGGAATTCATGGGAGAGAAATCAAGTTGCTTGAGGCTATTGGGACAGAGAAAAACAATTTCCTCAAAACCCTAATCTGAATTGGAAGCTGGCTGGAAGGGAATTTGATTTTCTTAAGGGCCTGAGCATAGGGGGGAATCCAGAGAGAAATACCAGACACTATGGGCAGGAATCTGGACCTGGGATCAGCATTTGTAAGTTTCCTACTTTTGTATATAGATTGTACTTGAGACTGCACACATTGTCATAAGTTAGACTTGATTCTACAAGGACCTGGCTGAATATGTGATGCTTTAGAATAAAGTTGAGATGAATTTCTAGAAGGTGATGGAACAGGAGGGAGAGCCTTGGGTGTGTTCTCAAGTCTGTGGAGGAGAATGTGTGTTTATAACCTCTGGACTGAGTCAGGAGAAGGGCCAGTGATGTACATATGGAGACTTCTCTTTGAGGAGACCCCAATGATTTCATCAGATGCTGATAAAGTAGAAAATGTGTGGAGAAGAAAGTGAAGCTAGTGGGATTGGAAGGAAAAGAATACCACCAAAAATAAGATACCTTTTGGTGAATATATTGACATAGCAGATAGAACATGTTTAAATTGCTTTCTACTTCAATTTTGCCAAATTTAAGCCATCTTCATAAAATATTTATAAGGTTAATTATAATTTGCTGACCTTGTTGCATTATATCTCTACAATAGTCCTGTGAACCACAGAGTGGATGATATAATGAATTTATAGACAAGGAGAATGAGGCTTAGGGAGGATTACTGACTTTGCCAAAATTTCATAATGAATAAGTGGCAGAGGCGAGCTTCAAACCCTGGTCTTCTGACTCTGGAGCCTGGGTTCACCCTCTCAGACTCTGCTGCCCCTTCAGTCTGATAAGTCCAGAAGTGTGGTTCATTAATAGTTAAGTTGGCAGTCAGTAGCACCTCCTACTGCACTTCACAACACAGTATAGTAACTATAAAGCCACAGGGCAGAAATCTCCTTTTCAAGGAGTAGAAATATTGACTTGAATATTTTAGCCAAGGCATAATTAGGAAGTAGTAGAAATTACATGGACTGAGGGCCAGAAAGACCTGTGCGCAAATTCATGATTGTTATTGCTAGATATATAACACTGGGCAAGTTATTTAACCTTTTGGAGCCTGCATTTATCTATAAACTCAATGAGTGAATATTCATTGAGTACCTACTAAAATAACCAGTTGCTGTGTTAGGCACCTGGGATACATCCAGACAAATGTAGTTGTCTTGGGATAAAACCAGACAAAAATACTCCTGCCATGCCCTGGTGGAGCTTACATTTTATTTGGGAGAGCCTCACAGTAAGGAATAAACAATCCATGTAACTGAGTTATGGAAGGCGATCATTTGCTATGTAGAAAATAAAGCAGGGAAGGTAGAATCAGGAGGGGGGGGGTGTTTACAATTTCCAGTCAGGTGGTCAGGGTAGGCCAGTTCTTGACAGTACTATCTTTCCAGTTAGGCCCCAAAACTTGGAATCATCTTTGTCTTCCTTTTTCTCATGCCCGATTTATCAGGAAATCCATTTGCGTCTCTCTTAAAGTATTTCCAGAATCTGACAGTTGTTACCATCTTCTACCTACCACTCTGGTCCAGGCTTTATCTAGTGGAAGGTTAAGAGCATTTAAGTGGCTAAATTTGAATAGTGGGAATTATTCAAATTTTTGTTATGAAGCAAACAGTGTTTTCATGTATATAATGTGTTAGGGCCACTAAAGAGCTATGGTTTACAGAGGACTAAATTAGAACATTTAAACCGTGGTTTAGGGGCCGGTCCCATGGCACAAGCGGTTAAGTGCTCGCGCTCCGCTGCAGCGGCCTGGGGTTCGCCAGTTCGGATCCCGGATGCGCCCGAGGCACCGTTTGTCAAGCCATGCTGTGGCGGCGTCCCATATAAAGTGGAGAAGGATGGGCATGGATGTTAGCCCAGGGCCAGTCTTCCTCAGCCAAAAGAGGAGGATTGACAGATGTTAGCTCAGGGCCCATCTTCCTCACAAAAAAAAAAAAAAAAAAAAAAATAAACCATGGTTTATAGGAGCAACCACTGTTAAACTAGAGAATAATCATATTTCTGATTTTTTTCTAATTTAAAAGATCAAATTTAACGTGTGCTTGTCTAATGTACAGTTGGTTTTGTTTCCAAGAAAGAGGCAACATAAGCAGGCTAAATAAAGTTGATGGAATACTATCAATAAATCTAAAAACTTTAAAGCAGTTGTCTTTTTGTTTTTTCAGAGAAAAAATTCTAATATAGTCTATTTCCTGAAAAATTTGAAAATTCTGGTAACAGTCAATTTTGATGATTCCTACCAGTCAGTCTCTTCCTTGAAAAATGATAGTGAATGAAATGTTTTTAATTAAAGCTAAATAAGAAAAGTTTTTTTTCATGTGCTAATGCTAAGTTTTCCATAAAGTAACACCTTGAAAATTTGAAAAAAAAAAAAAAATTGATGCATCCAAACTTTCAAACATGTGAGATATTTGTTTTTGGCTTGGCTAAAATATAATTTGTAAAAAGGCAAAATTATGACTCTCATACAAATATAAAATGATCACACCAAGATTTCCTTTAATGCATAATAAAGGAGCAAACCAGTTAGAGATCAAAACTAGCCCAAAGAACATTTGAAAACTAGATGTTTTTAGGCAAAGTTAAAATAAGATTCATAGATTAGATATAAAAATAGTTAATTTCCAACAAGGATTTAAACTGTAACGGTTGAATTATTTTACTCACCAGACACACATTATTTGCATCTTTTCCAGACCGAATTCTGTAAGGTAACATATAACTTCACTGTCTGGGACCTTTTAATCAATAGTAAATAGTAAATTGAACTGAGTATATTTCTTCAGATATCCTTGGATGGCCTTTGCCCTCATGTGACATTGAAAGGACCTGCCTTCTCATCTTTCGGTCTTCTGTATTTGGATACTTTTCATGACAGCTTTTAAAGTTAGTCTACAAATATAAAAATCTGTTTTTATGGCTTATTTTGCTTTTTTTTCTTTTGCGTGTACTGAGAAACCATTCCAAAACATTTTTCTTTTTTTTTTTTCAAAGGAAACCAAGGTATTCTATAACTGAAGAGTTAACGTGTTTTTCCGGAGGATGCAACCTTACCATTTTTGAATGTTGCTACAAATTATAGAGGAATGTTATAAGGATACTTAAGAATCTTCCTTGGGAAAGTTAATTATGAATATGGATATTTAATTGCTCTGTGATAATAAATATGCAATTTTAATATTGATTATATGTAAATTATTTTAAAAGAAATATGTGAAGGTTATATTGGGGAAAAGAAAAACAGGTGGCTTGAGCCTCTGAGACTGATTCATGAAGTGGTGCCAGATGTTCCTTTCCAGCCCGTGAACGAACTGGTGCAAGTGAGTCAGAGATTAGGTACAGTTTGACGAGAGCACTCAGGATGTGTTCCATTCATCCTAGAGATGCGGATTTCTTAGGTTATGTTTTGAGTGGTGCCAAAGGAAGCAATAGTAAAGACATTTCCTGGAGCATTAGGCGATCATGTGGAAGGTGGCTACTTTCAGCTTTCACCCCCAACGTTTTGTACAGTGGTCGTCACATTTCGCTGCACTTAATATTGTAAAGCTATATACGCTCTACCTTTAAGAGAAAAGAGCTAAGTGCCAGGTTGTCAAAGATTAAAGAAAGAGCCAAGAGTGTGAGGAAGCCTCATTTTGCTGTTTGTGAGAGTATAAATGGGTGTAATCTTCTCTAAGGGCATTTTAGCAATATCTGTCAATATCTATCTAAATATCAATATTTGGAATGTCGTTTTCATTGAGTGAAAGAAGCAGAAACCTGATTGCAGAGATATAAGGATTGAATGGCAATGCTCATGTAATTCAGAAAGAAAATACAATCTTCTGAGTTGATACTGTTACTCTCTTTTTCACATACGGCTTTTATGCTAAATTGGCCTTTTGCTTTAAACTTAAACTTTTCTAAACCTTTACTAAAAAAAACAATTTATGGCCATCAGGGATCCTGGCACATTTGTGTGATAAGAAAATTAGAATTTTAGAAATTTAGAAATTTTAGAATTTTAGATAATAATTTTAGAAATATTATTTTAGAAATACGTAATTTTAGAAATACGACCATATTGCTATTTAATATTATGGGTTTTTCATTGTGAATGCTTATTTATAAAAAGCATATCCTCCCCAAAATGCACATCTGTGGTAAGAAAGAGAGAGATTATTAAAATGTTTGTTTCCTAATAGGCAAAGCAGTGTATACCAAACATTTCTCTTGTAGACCAGTTACCCCAAGCGTTTCAGAGCTAACAGCAGCTAATTAAGGTTCATCTGTACACTAAAACTTCTTATATGTATGTTTTCAGAGTTTGTTTTTCCCTTAAGGAAATATCTTATTAAAAATAAAGTTAATGTGAAAATGTATATAATGTTCTTCTTTTGTACCATAATGATCCTCAATAAGGTATTATATAAGGTACATTTAGATAGAATCAAAATTGCCAAAGCCTGAGGCTTTTAAAGTCTAGAGACTAAAGTATCAGGTAAATGCATTATATTGAGTGTCAAAATTTCTAAGATAGTCAAGTATATACATCATATAATCTTTTATGACAAAATTGAGATGACTTATGTAACATTGTTATTTTAAAAATTTATCTTCAAGGAAAGAAAATTCCCTAAATTTATAGCAAAAGAAATGGAGACTATGTATATAGAAGAGTTGCGGTCTTCAGTGAATTTGCTAATGGCCAATTTGGAAAGTCTTCCAGTTTCGAAAGGTGGTCCAGAATTTAAATTGCAAAAATTAAAACGTTCACAGAATTCTGCATTTTTGGACATAGGAGATGAGAGTGAGATTCAGCTGTCAAAGTCCGACGTGGTGCTGTCATTCACCTTAGAGGTAAGTGGCTTTATCCCATGCTTGCCTCTGACAGCGTAAATGAGGCTGCAAAGTAATTTTTGCTGACCTTCGTGGTAACTTTTCGAATTTAAAGCAAAGTGTAGTATATTTTGAGGAAGTTAGATTATTCTTCATTTGCTAGACCATCAGGTTGTGAATGCAAATTAATGCAAATTGTCCTTTAAATATAACAGCAGTATTAGGATTAAATAATAAAATAATAAAAGATTTGAGGCCTATCTTCTGTGTGTCAACTAGGCTAGTGCAAGTTTACTGATAAAGTAAGCATGAAACACTTGGGTGGAAATAGGGTTTTAACATATGGTTGAATTCTCAGTGATTTGGAAACTCCTTTCAGGGTGTTGTTTAGCCTTGTTTTTCATCTACTTCACCTATGAGATCATCTTTCTAGAATCAAATCACATAAACCAGCTGCAGTGCACAATATTGAGTGCATGTAGATGATGAAAAGTAGAGAATTCTCCCTTTCCAGGACTTCCAGTTTCGTTATAGGTACAGTAAATATTATAAAGAACAAGAACAAATATCATGCCTTTAAAATTATGTTTCCCAAGAATTCTGTTTCATCCCCTTTTTACAAATCACTGGCAGTCAGGTATTGATACTGACTCTTTCTACAGCCACCTGTTGATGCTTTTCATGATTGCATTTCTTCTTTGTAATCTCGGTATGTGGGCTAATCCACATATATGTCTATGGGTTTATACACAACACATACATACCCTAGCAATATCAAGCTTAAATTTATAACTCTTCCAAAAATCATATTAGCTTGTAGCTCCTTCCTTGCATTGTTATGTTCTGTCTCTGCTGGTTCCCAGTACTGCTGTTTGAGTTTGCTGATTGGTGAGGAAAGGTACCAGGAGTCTCAGGAGGTACAGTGTTAAATTTCTTTGTTGATACTTCTCGCACTTGGCTTGCTTAGTTTATGGCAGAAAAAGCAAAAGTCTGCTTTTGTTCTTTTTTCCCCACATACTCACCTTTAAGATAAATTCAAGCTTGAGAATAAGACAACCGCCTCGCACTTTCTTTACTTCCAGGCTAATTATTTCTTGGTAGGTTACTAGATTAAATTTAGGTCAGAGTAGAACTGTGAGATTTTCTTCTGACTCCACTCAGGTCTAGGATTACCTAATGACTTTGCCAAGTGGCTTTACTACTGGGTTTCTTAATCTCTTTAGCCTCTTGATCTATGGATGTTTAATTTGAAATTGCATAGTATCTTAAATGTGGAATTTCCTCATTTCTGCCTCAGGTTTCCTAATGACTAAAATGTAAAGTGCCAACTTCTTATTCTGTTTTCTTTTTTTAAGGTTTTGTATGAAACGGAATCAATTATTTAATTACAATATAACTTTTTCTAACAAAAGTTTGGCATTTAAGTTCATTAATGATTTTTGTAATGATTTTTTAATGCTTAATGTATAAATCTACTATTTCTATAAACATTCAGAACTGAAAACAGTTCAAAATATTATCTCTTTTATCTGTTTAAAAATCGTAAAAAATGGTAAATAGCTTCTTATGAATTCTATTTTCCCTTTTGAAAACAAAATTATGCCTGTGAGTTAGTCTTTAAGTGAAACTATGAATTGTTCTGTATTTTATTGCCAGTGTGTTAAACAGGGCTGTTTAGTTAACAATAAAACGATGTTAGGAGGAGATTATGAGTTAAAACTTGATTTTGTGTGATATGAGACACTTGCATATTTATGGAGTGTTTTGACATCCTCTGTTGCTGTGTTTATTTAAGGCGGATATTTTCCTACTGTAGCATAATATGGATCGGATCTGTTCCCCGTTGCCCATAGTATTTTAAGTAGGAGTTATGTGTCCAGCACAAGATGCAATCACATTAAGTGCTTCTCTGTAGGACGTCTGAGAGAATAGACTAGGTATCCTGTAGCCCCCCGGGCCTCTGACTCAGCATAGGTAAACTGAATCATTATCCCAGCCCATTATCTAAGCCTTGCTCCTCAGACCCCGGATTTCAGCCTAAAAAAACTCTGAAAGGCAAGCAGTTAATCCAATTTAAGGTTCTCACATACCATCAGTCAGGCTTAGAGTTGATCAGCCCAGAAGGGAGTCTTTTCTAAGAATTGAAGTCTGAGTCTAAGGAATAAGTGCAGATTTGAAAAACTGCTCAAATTTTATCTTCTCTTTAAAATTGCTGCCCACTCCTCCCTTCTCCCACCACACCCTGTTTCCTTACCAAGCTCAATTTTTACCACAGCTCTTATTACCTAACATTTAATTCAGTTATTTATTATGTTGATTATTCATTATCTGACTGTCTCTACTAGAATGTAGGCTGCAGGAAGCTAAGGTCTTTTTTGGTTTGTTTTCTCTGTTTTTCCTCTTTTTTGTTTACTGTTTGTTTTCTCTTTTTGTTTTTTCTCTTTTTTGTTTACTGAGGTGTAGCAAGAGCCTAAAACAGTGCCTGGCACACAGTTGATAAATATTTATTGAATTAAGGACTTGGATGGTATCAAAAAGCAGCAGTTAGCCACGCAAGATTACTTTTAGGTCTCTTTATTCATAAAGCCTTCAGAGAGAATAATAAAGCAAGAGATAAGCTAACCCACAAAACACTAAGCCATACAATAGCATATTAAAATTAAATATTCAAGTAAAGCTAGGAAAATGAGTCTGTGTTGTGAGGGGAATGGTGTCAGTGGCGTGCATATAGTTGATTTTCACACTGAATGTTTTCATTGGTATTAGGCTGGCAGACCTTGTCACTTGCTCTGTATCTGGTGGTATGTGGTCCTCATATTCAGCATACTACCCAGCTTCATTTTCCTCCCAACCTACACATGCCGGGCTGCCACAGAACTCTGTGGGCAATGCATTATTCAGAAGCATGTTGTCTAGTTTCATGTTTCATACATGCCTCCCTTTCTTTTTGCTTCTAGGATAACTTTGTCTAATTTATCCTTGTTACATCAGTCACAGAGAGATTGGAGAAGAGAGGACGAAACGTAGTTCAATTTTGTTTTCTATGGTTCCATTATGAAGTTTTGCTGGGAATTAGTTGAAACAGTTACCTAAAATTAGGTTAGTTGATGGTCCATGGAATTTTTGGCTGTCTTTATCATTAACTGAGACTAGCTCTGTTATCTTTTTTTATTCCTTCTGGAAATTAGATCTATAGAATTGTGTCGTTTTATTTATATGTATGGATTCATAACAGAAGTAATTTTGAAAGTGACATTTCTGCAGGATAAAACATTCCTGGCACAGATGGGAGCATTGTTTTGAGGAGCAAAATGCGGTTTCACAAGTTGTATGTTTTAGGAGGTCCTGTTTACAGTAGCTTGTAATAGAGGTGACAGAAATAGTGTCAAGCAGATGCTTCCCTTCTTCTCTTTTGCACTTGGCTATTAAACACACTACAGGAAGAGATGCAGTGCAAACAACTATATTTCCGGATATGAACCAATGCTGTCAAGATTTCTAGACTTATATACAATTTTGTTGTTTCATACATTTTAAGTGGCCATCAAAAAATTTTATCATTGAATTAAGTCATTAGAGTCATAATGGTATGTAGTTGGCTTTTAACTGATATGGTTATATACTTCATTTGTCTCAGCTTCTGGTTGGTTTTATTTGTATAAGGATCTAGTGACTTTTGATTTACTAAAAAAACTTGGTTTATTAAAAATGCATAATTCTTATTTTCCTTAACTAAAATTAAGTACTTCACACAAGCTGCCTAGAATATTAGAGCAGCTGTGAAAGATGTTACTATTTTCTATTCTCCATTAATTCTTAGTCTGTTTTCAGTTAAGTCTTTATTTTTATTCATGTTACATAGTTCAGTGTGAAAAAATGACAAAAGTTTTAGTTGAGGAAGGAAAATGGTTCTGAATTTGACCTTGATTTTTCAGTGATTGGTTTTCTCTATATCCTTATGAAAAAACAAAACAAAAGCAATATGCATTTGTATTTACAAACGTAATCCCTCTGTTGTACCAGAGCTGAATGAAAGAACAGTTCTTTTAAGATAGTTTGTTTCTTTGAGACCTTTTGCCTCAAGATTCATAACACAACATTATACTGTGCAAAATATAATGACTTTAATAACGTATTAAATGATGAATAAATGATATAGATGATGTTTTGGTGGATATTTTGGTAGCTACATAGCATGAATGCTATTAATCTAGTTTGTACAAATACAACATGAGATCAACGAAGACATGAATGTGCATATATAAAAATGCCATTGAATATATTTTATAAATTGAGAATTGAGAGAACTTCATGATATAAATTTTGATTGAAAAAAACTATGGCAAATAATATTCATATTTTATATGTATATACAGTGAGAATGTTAGCTTATGATATTTTAAGATGGGCAGCCTTTTATACAGACATAAAAAGCACACTTGAGAAAATAAATTTCATTTTTCCCCAGGAGATATATATTATATATATATATTTTTTTCCATATTTTGATAATAAGATAGATGTTGGCCATAAGAAAATTCTTTATACTTTCATAAATTCTTTTTGTAATAGTTAAAATTTAATAGTTAAATTTTCTTTAGAATGTTCTTTTGTAAGTGGTGATCTAAAATAAGTGAATATAGAAAATTTCTGATGTCACATATTAATATCAATGAATTGATATGATGGTGACAATGTCTACAGGTAATAAATGTTATGTCACTTTATGTGAAACTCAACGTGTGCTCCTTTAATCACATTTACTGAATTTTCATTTGTAATTCTGCTTTACTTCATGCAGACTTGCCATAATTTTTTAAGAATCTGAGTTTATATCTCACTTAATTTACTAGGGCTTATATTTAGAGACTTCAACTTTTAATAGCTGGCAGGAGATATTTTTTCAGATACCAGACTTCCTCCAAATGTTGTTTATTGTATCTTTCATGAATAGAGGTGGATTATAAAGAAGATAAAATACCATTGATGTTACCAGATAATTTTATCAATTGGTCTCTCTCGTTGCACTTCACTCTGCTTTCTCTATTTATTGCTAAATACTGTTAACTTGATGTATCATTTAAAAATTTTTCTTATCTTTAGATTGTCATAATGGAAGTGCAAGGTTTGAAGTCAGTCGCCCCCAATCGAATTGTTTACTGTACAATGGAAGTGGAAGGTGGAGAAAAACTGCAGACAGATCAGGCTGAAGCCTCAAGGCCACAGTAAGCTAGTTGAAAAAAAAATTTTTTTTTTCGCTTCCAAAGAAATGTGCTTTATTTATTTGCAGAATTGTATGGTTTTGCGCCGTGAAACTGTTCTTTGGCTAGCTTTGGCTCAACTGTCAGAACCAATGTGAGCCTTTCTGGATAATGATGGTATAATTAGAACTGTAGCAGAATCCCTATGTAGTACAAACATGCAAATGTGAAATTAATTATTAGGCATAAAATGTTTGTAAGTTATTTATGAGCAAAGCATGTGCTAGAATGTGTTATTGAAAAGGTAGTACTTGATCCTGTTTCACTTACTAGAATTGTAACCTAATAGCTTTTCCATTTCTATGTATTATAGCTCTGTGGTGATATCGAGGTAGATGCCGTGATTCTATATTTGTTTTGGGAGAGTATGAAGAATTGAGGTTAATTCTTTTTTAAATGTCTGGTAGAAATCACCAGTGAAGCCCTCTGGGGCTGGGCTTTTCTTTGTGGGTAATTCTCTGATTACTAATTCAAGCTCATTTGTTATAGGTCTATTGAGCTTGTTTATTTCTTGTAGAGTCAATTTCAGTATTTTGTGTTTTTCCAGTGATTTGTCTATTTCCTCTAAATACCTAATTTATTGGCATACAATTGTTCATAGTATTTATTTATAATCTTTTTTAGTTCTATAAAGTTAGTAGTAATGTTCCTTCTTTCATTTCTGATTCTAGTAACTTGAATCTCCTTTTTTTTTAGTTCATTTAGCTAATGGTTTGTCCATGTTTTTAATTAAAAAAAAAAAAACTTTTGATTTAACTGACTCTATTGTTTTCTGTTCTCTATTTTATTAATTTCCTCTCTAGTATTCATTATTTCCTTCCTTCTTTTTCTTTAGGTTTAGTTTGCTCTTCTTTTTATAGTGTCTTAAGATGGAAAGTTAGTTTTTTATTTGAGATCTTTCTTTTTTCTTAACATAGGCATTTACAGCTATAAATTTCTCCCTAAGCACTGCTTTAGTGGCATCCCATAAATATCAGTATGTTCATTTTCATTCATCAAGGAGGCTTTGTCAATGAAATATGTTATTTGTACAGTAAATAGAGTCAATGGAAGAAGCTTATTAGCTGCAGGAATATATAAGCCCCAGATCCCATCATACCATCCCAATGACTGAGAGAAAAGAGGGCTTGTCACTCCTGAAACCCATTGGAAACATACCAGTGTGTCACCACTCACTGGTTGGGAGGCTCTTTTATGGCATTTACATTAGTTTGTTTAATCTGCCTGTCTTAGTCAGCTCAGGCTGTATAACAAAAATGCCATGGACTGGGTGACTTAAACAAGAAACATTTATTTCTCACAGTTCTGGAGCCTGGAAGTCTGAGATCCAAGTGCCGGTATGGTCAGTTTCTTGGTGAGGGCCCTCTTTGGTTTACAGAAGGCCACCTTCTTCCTGTGCCCTCACATAATGGAGAGCGAGATCTTATGTCTCTTCATCCCCTTATAAGGACACCAGTTCCATCATGGGGGTGTAGCCCTCATGACCTCATCCAAACCCAGTTACGTCCAAAGGGCTCCACCTCTAAATATCTTTACACTGGGGATTAGGGCTTCAACATACGAATCTTTGGGGAGCACACAAACATTTACTCCATAGCATTTCACCCCGATCTCCCCAAATTCATGTCCTTCTCACATGCACAATACATTAATTCCATCCTAACAGTCCCAAAGGTGTTAACTCATTCCAGCATCAGCTCTCAAGTCTGAAGTCTGAAGTCTCATCTAAATATCATATAATTCAGACACAGGTGATAATCAAGGTATGATTCATCCTGAGGCAAAATTCTTCTTCAGCTCTGAACCTGTGAAGTCAGATAAGTTATGTGCTTCAGAAGTTCAATGGTAAGAGAAGCATGGGATAGATATTCCAATTCCAAAATGGAGAAATAGGAAGGAAGAAAGGGGTGACAAGTCCCAAGTAGATCTAAAACCTGGCACGACAAACTCCATTAAACCTAAAGCCTCAAGAATAATCCTCTTTGGCTCAATGCTTTGCCTTCTGGACCCACTAAGGCAGTGGTCTTTCCCTTAGCTCCCACTGGGACAGTAGTCCCACCTATGTGGCTCTGCTGGGCAGGGCTTGTGCCCTGATGGCTCTGCCAGATGGAAGTTGTGTTCCTGCTGCTCCGAGTGGCTGCCGTCTGGCATGTTGAAACCAAGGTGATGGTTCTATCTACATGGTTCTGCTGAGCAGAGTCCTGCCCTTTGAAACTGAGGTGGAGACAGCCTTGCCCCGTCATCCCCTACCCTCCCACCTAGTGTACTATGGGCTTGTGCTGGGAGTGACAATCTTGATGTTCTCTGAATCACTTTTGGGGTCCTTCTTCCCTGTCTTGAGGAATAGAGTATGTTCACAGCTGAATCCATGGTCCAGTCCTATAGGGTGTAAGCAGTTGGACAGTCTTTCTTCATTTCTTCCCCTTTCCATCTCCTTCAATTTAAACTGGCAGCATTCCTGCTGGGATGGTTGGTTAGGTCCATGGTTGATACCTATACTAATCTCCTTATCACATGATTGGTCCACACACCTTTAGTCTTCACTTCTGAATACGCTGTCTCATTTTTTGTAATATGAGCTGGTGAGAATCTTCAAAATCTTTACAATCTGGTCCGTTTTTGCTCAACAATTCTGTCTTCAATTTATTTCTCTCTCCTTGCATTTTACTATAAGCAGTCAGGAGGAACCAAGCATCTCTTTCAATACTTTGTTTAGAAATTTCCCCAGTAAATCTCCAATTTCATTGCTTGCAAGTTCCACCTTTCACAAAACACTAGAACACGAACACAATTCAGCCAGGTTCTTTGCCACTTGATAACAAGGATCACCTTTCTTCCAGTTTCCAATAACAAATTCCTCATTTCTGTCTGAGACCTCAACAAAATGGCCTTTACTGTCCATATTTCTACCAGTATTGTATATATGATTATTTGTCCTCTAAGAAGATAAAAGCTTTCTATATAGCTCTCCTCTTTTCTTTCTGAGCCTTCACCAGAATTGCCTTTGAAAGTCCCCTTCATTGCAATATTGGCTGCTTCTAGCATCTATCTCAAAATTCTTTCAGCCTCTACCCCTTTGCCAGTTCCAAAGCTGATTCCACATTTTTAGGTACTTGTTACAGCAGCACCCCACTTCTCAGTTCAGGCTGCTACAGTAAAAATACCATAGACTGAGTGGCTTAAACAACATTTATTTCTTACAGTTGGGGAGACTGAAAGTCTGAGATCAGGGTTCCAGCATGGTCATATTCTTGGCGAGGGTCCTCTTTCTGGTTTACAGATGACTGTTCTCTTGCTGTATCCTCACATAATGGAGAGACAGATCTTGTGTCTCTCCATCGTCTTATAAAGACACCAGTCCTATCATGAGGGCTTCACCCCCATGACCTCATCCAAACCCAGTTACCTCCCAATGACCTCCCCCTCCAAACACCATCACACTGGGGATTAGAGCCTTAAACATATGGATTTTGGCAGTGGAGGGGGACCCCTGCATACCCTACTAGTCCGTGAGATCTTGAGGGAGTGCAAATGCCCTAAGAATTGCAATGCCATGTTATTTTCTACAGAATCTTTTTAAAAAGTTTTATTGAGGTATAACTTACATAGCATAAAATTCTTCCGTTGCAATTTAGATGATATTTAGTAAATTTCTACACCTCTGCTGCTATCATCACAATGCAATTTTAAAACACCTTTTCAAAAAGTTCCCCTCTGTGCATTTGCACTCTACTCCTGCTCCCACTCCCCGTTCCAGGAAACCACTCTTCTGCTCTCTAGCTCTGTAATTTATTTTTTTTCCTGGACATTTCATATGAATGACGTTATGTAATATGTAGTCTTTTGTATCTGGGTTTTTTTCACTTTGCATAATTTCTACAAAGTCTTTAATTGATGTTTAAATGTTTGGTCAATCAAATGAATTAACTTTTATGTAAATAGTTCTGTTATTTTGACACTATTTTCACAAATAGTAAACGTTCTCATAGGGTATTTCTCATTTAATTGCTAATATACTCATAATGTACTCATCAAGAGATTCTGCTTAATAGGGGACATGTAAGTGGACAATTGAAATGAATTAAAATACTTGGAAGTTAGAAGATATTACAATAAGCCTCCAGTACTTTTTCTATTGCTCTTACCACAAGGAAATTTGGCTAAAATAGCTTTGCTGTGTTTCCTCATGAACACTGAGTTAACTTTTAAAATGAATTAAAAGATTTCTATTTATCCTTGTATCCCAGGGGCAGATTACCTTAAAAATGTATCTCCTGAATGCTGACCAACTGTGGCTTTTCCGCAGTGTGATTACTTTTATCTGGAACTCGTCTTGCACAACAGGAAAGAGATTCATCTTCTCCATCATCATAGTGAATTATGCCTCAGACACGTTTTCTAAATTTTATTGCTTCAACAGTTTGTGCTTTGTTGGAGATCAATTCATCCTTCTGTCTGATACTAATTAAAGTGCCTGATTTAGCCCCTGTTTATAATAAACTTAATCAAGATTTCTAGGCATTGCCTGTTTCATTCCTGTAGTTCAGATTTCCTGCCAGCAATAAGGTGGAAACAGCTTGTGAGGTTGGTACGTAGCTTAGAATATAGAACCTGAGGTCTAATAAAAATGGTGTTTGTGGACAAGTTTGATTTATAAAGAGTAGTAGTGAGGTAATCTATTTGTTAAAGTTTTGTTTTTAATTTTTCATTTTTTAATAGAGGGAAGACAATGTAGATAAAGTATATTTTTCAGTTATGGAGAAAACTATTATTTATGGTTGTTAAAGTCATTGTTTCATAGTCTCTCAGTGAACAAGGAAAAGTTTTGTTCTCTGTGAATGAAGTACAGAAATGTTGTTGCTACACTTTTATAGCTTTTTATCATTTCCTGACATTTTGCTATTTGTGTTTTAGCCTGTACCCTTAATGATACCACCTGAAAGGAAATGGAAGGATGGTAAGAA